GCGAATTGGAAATAAATCGTTTAAGCATAGCAGACGTAGGAAGACGACGAAGACAAAGAGTGGATGGTATTAGTGGTGATAGTAGTGATGATAGATACACGTGTCGGAGTGTTCAAAGGTTCCAAAAAATAATTGGTCGATTGATTTTCAAATTCAATGTTTGTTTGGTAATTTCATTATGCGAATAAACACTTACCATATTTGTTGGTTGCTGATTCAATAGCTATGAGAAAATAGAAATAATTTCTATTATCCCTTTTTGTGCAAAAATAACACAGACATAAAACATATACTGAACAATGTCGAGGGTTTTCCATTTTGCTGCATTTAAATTTTAGAATTTATATTTACAAAATATTATATATTGTATATTATGTACACCATTCACATACTGTTTAGTATTTGCGAATGTATACGTGAATTACTACTATTTTATGCATTGTGGCAAAATGTTTATTTAAATATCATAATATAATATTTCTAGCGATGGGGTATATTATATAATTATCATTCAGTTATCACATACTACATATTTAGTCGGCATTAATTGAATTATTATTTATTTTTTATACGATGTAATAATAATTATCATTTACTTTTTAAAAATGAAATCAAAAACGGTTTATTTATTACCCGTTTAAATATTAAGACAAAACGTGTTGAAAAAAAAAAAATACTAATGTAGTTTAAATAATAATATTATAATATATAATTATAGCGCGGTGCACAAGTGACGGGGACAAAGTGTTAACCGTCTAAACTTTTATGTTATGGTCTTGAATTTTAATAGGATAACACGTTGCGACAATTCGACGAGAAAACTTGTAATCGCGTATCAAACCGCGGCGTTATAATGTCTTAATTTTATAGAAATCGTTACCATAAGTTCTCGTCCGACGAAAATTCGTTCGAAAACGTCACAGAAAATTGGTAATCATTAGAGCGGTTTTGTCATACCGTCAGAGAACCTTATATAATATGATCGTATTTATAATATGGATATGTATACGCTGATGCTTCTGAACACGTTGAGTGGTGTTGATGTATGTTAATGTATATATATAAACAATAGGTATGCTATGATATTATTCCATTTGGGAATTGGCGACGGAGGTGTTTTATTGCTCTATTCGTATTGTGTTTTCCAATTTCCTGACGGATGTATTGAAGAAGAATATTCAGTTGTTTCTTTCTACCATGTCTGTACGTCTAGTCAAATCCTGTAGTGTTCGCCCCGTTCACCGACAAAGCGGGTTACATATTATCGTCACACCCCCGCAGACATGCATCAATAGTCTCGTGTAAAGGGGAAAACAGCAGAAGGAACACACAGTGGAAGTCGGTTTACCAACTGTGACTAATACAATACATCGTAACATGACGTGTGCCGCACAACGGTGTGAATTTTATTTATTATTATCTCATACTGAGAACACACATTTCACGCGCATATATTATTTAGATGTATATTGTTATTATTATGATTGTATTCGACGTTGCAATTTTTATAGCGTATTAATTTATACTTATATATACTTAAATCACGTTGTACGTTAGGTACATAATACAGTTCGTTTTAAAATTGTACTATTAATTAATAAAATGCATTAAATTTGATATCTAATTCTTTTGTTTTCCAAATGAATGACAGTATCAATAAAGGTGCATTTTCGTTGTTAAAATATTACCAATCTCGGACAATTTCAAATGACTAATTTATGGCGGACGTTGTTTGCAGGCTTTAATATGAATCTTACGAAATCTTATTACTTCAATTCCACCTGATACTTGTATTAATGGCATTGCTAAAAGTCTCGATAATGTTTTTGCGAAATATCTCGCATTTTAGTCTTAAATTTGATTTGATCAAAATTCATAATAATAATGTCTTGCAGTTCAAAACATCATTTATAGCTCGTATTTTATTAACATTAATGATAATATGAATTTTGGCAAGCTGGAGAAAGCGTATACATGAGGCCAAATTGTCGTCATAACGTGTGCCGGGCTTTGTCGTACTTACCCACACACGGCCAAATAATTAATTTGATCGTAAATTGTGTACGTACTTGACATTCCTGACACATTGCCTGCCGCCGTGTTCACGTTTCACGTTAGCGCGTAAAGTTTGTCGAACATTTCAGTACGATATTCCGTTGTGAATTCATTATGTATGCCGCAAAATGCAATAATTAGATTTGATAAAATTTGATTATGGTATATAACGGTGGTTCACGTGTTTAAAGCGCGTAATTATTCAAATAATAATAGCAACGATAATAATCAAACTTCAACAGACTACGGTGAAAATATTGAAGATACCTACCTAGATTTTCTAAATTCTTTTTCCGACCGGACGTTTCTCGATTTCGATAAATTATAAAGAAAAAAAAAATAACTTCTTAATGCTGTTTTGAGGGCGGATATTCGTAGATTTCATTTCAATCTTGCGAATTCATCATTTCGGATGTGTAAAAATGTAATTCCGAACAATTCGATGTGCCCGGTATTCGTAAACGTGTGCAGGTAATATAATAATAATATGTTCAACCCGAATCTATCATATGTTTTCTGACGTTTTTCGCTGGGAACTAATACTACAACCCCGGATCTAAGTAAACAAAATCCTTCCTTATCACACGGTTGCCATGCCAATCGACAAACAGGTCTCTCGCGTATTTTTTCTTTTTTTCTATACATACATACTAACACACACATATATAATGTACATGCATATATGTAATATATATACATACGTATGAATGTGTTATTATAGGTTATTGTTTGCCCGTCTCGTCGACATGAATTGTTTGTGTGAGTATGTGCACGTGCGTTTGCGTATATATGCACCAACAGTATTTTATACCCTTTTCAATCCAAATATTTATTTAACCAACTTGATTACCTCCATAGCCGCCGCCGCTGCCAACGAATGAATTTAATCAGATGTTTCTGACCGGAAAAACGTAAGTTGCTTTATGCCGCGGGGACCTTGGACGTGCCGAGTGATAAGATAAACATTATTTTCAATGGTGAAAAATTTTTTTTTTTTTAAATGAGAAAAAAATGAAAAATTGAAAATAATGTAAATTAAAAAATATACTAATTTAATATAGTACAAACTTACCAATATTTATCCCGATTACGTTTCAAAGAATATTACTATTGGTACCTATATTGTTTTAACGTCGTATTGAACAAAAAATAATATATGTATATAACGGTTCGTAAGGTTAAATGTTACAAACGTGCGATTTTTAATAAAAATGCATTTTTTGTATCGTAGCAATGATACACATAAATTTGTATTCATTCGTTTACTATATACAGTATATATAATATCAGTTCTCGCTTACAAAGATGATGCACGATTTATATATCGTGAGCTTAGTCGAGAGGAATAGTATGATGAGAAAATTTACTTATGTAAAAATTCCTTCGCAAAAATATTAGTAATAATAACATTTTGTTAGAATTTATGTGTAAAAAAGTAATAAAAAAAATTTTCTATGTCAAATGAATAAAAAAAAAATCCTCATGTGCATAAATGCAATAGAATAAGTCTATTCAAATTTAAAATATTCAAATTTTTTACTTTCCGGAACTACATCAATCTAATTCAAGTGTGGCATTATATGTGACTACAAAAAAATATTTATATAGTAACAAGTAAATATAGTTTCTAGAGAGAAGATAGTTGAAAATACACGACAGTGAAAACAATATGGCTCTGTGTTTCTCGGTGACTAGTAAATATTGCAACAAAAGGGTATTCAGACGTAAAACGCCATCCAATTTGTCTGCAAGCTGGGCCCCAGTCCTGGGCTAACAGTCGGGTGTTTGAGAAAACAGCTTTTAAAAATCACAGACAGAACGGGAAAAGATAAAAAGGCAAAAACGTACACAAATGTGTGGAAACCCTGCGGGAAATCAAGTCTCGGATCGATCGGATCGTCTTAGGGAGGTAAAAGAGTAGGAAATGCATGTAAGGACAGCGAGAGATTAGCGGTGAGGATGGATAAGAACAAGTGGGCATTTGGAAGCTATTAATGTGACCCTTTTTATTTTTTGTTCACGTTTCTTCTTCCTCTCCAGTTGTTTCCATTTTGAATCCGGTAATAGAAAAAAAAAATGAAAAAAAATCCGAACGAAATGGGAGCTAAATTGAAAAAGAGATTTACCTGAGGATTATCGAAAGTGTTGAAGCAGATCCATCTTTGATGGGAAAACCGCGTTTATTTTAAACTTTATTCACTACCAAGCATTAACTTTAGGCTCCTGAAAGATTAAGAATTAAATACGGAAGTCGTTCTGGGTTATACGTCAATTTTAAAACAATGGTATACGTATATACCTGTAATAAGTGAAGAATTAAATTACCATTTTATTAATTATAAGTAATAAGTAGCGTTGCGAGGATATGTAATACAAACATATAACTCGTTGAATAATATTGCAAAATTTTAGAATATTATACTGTCTAAGGTTAAAAACAAGTTCTTAAATAAATGTTATCTATTTTTCGCTAAATAATAAAAATCGCAGATTATGCATGAATGAAAAGATAGAAAAATTTTATTTTTAAAAAGTAACGTCTTAGCATTTCTATTGTTTATAGACAGAATATTATTATCGAGTTGTAAAAAAAAAATAAGAAAAATGTTAGTAAAGTAACAAATGAATATTACAAATCGTTTTCAAATAAATAAATGCATTCTAAACTTAGAAATAATTTTATTTGTTTAGAAACAATTTTGGAGTAAAATTATATTATTGGAGCTATCAATTTAATAACAAACGTAAAACGATGACATAAATGTTACTATATACTATTTTACGAATGAATAAAAAACAAAACGAATTGCTCCTAATATCTACGATTTTTATTGCGTAATCCCTACACACACATAATACTACATAATAAAAAATACTATTTGTCTTTTATTGCCCTGTGACATAGATTACACTTTATTAAAGGGATAATTTTTGTTTTGTTTCAGCAGGATTCCATAAATCTGGAACCGTCAAACATTATGAGCTGCACGTCCAAAGGAAAATCTGAGGTAATGTAACAAAAGTGAACTGTTCTTTTATTTTATTATTATGTTTTTTTTTTTTTTTTTTTTGTTATCGTTTAAAAATAATAATAAAATACTTGGTGTTAGACGAAAGAGATCTGAGCCGTATTTTACGCAAAACAGGTATGCGTGCGCGTTAGGTGGAGACTTTAAGCTTTGTTCTTTTTTACGTCGAGGATGACAGGAGGGAGCAATATGTTTACAATAACAATGGGGAACGAAAGAAAAGACAGAATTATTTCTCGTGCATGTATGTGTATGTGTGTGCATGCGCGCGTGCGTAATGTATGTATGTGAGTATAATATCCATGGGCAGAGACAAAGAGTAATAAATATCCCTGTATAGGTTGGACAAAAGAAGTTTTCTGAATGCGAAAATTCGGATTAAAAAAAAAAAAAAAAAAAACAACGACAAACCGATGTTATAGCGACGTAAAAAGTGAAATCAACAGTAGTAGAAATAATATAGGTACACGAGTTCACGTGTATACGTAAATAAAATCGACTAAACCTCGATCTTTGTATTACGCACTAGCCGCGTGTGTATAACTTTGGTTTGGTGCCATTTTCGCATCGAATTTAATTTGTAAAATAGCTCTTAATGCGTAATCCATTACCGTTAAGCTCGGACGGAAGTCAATAATCCAATTCCGAACTCGGGCTCCTTGCGGTTTATTAAATTCTTAACTTTCGGACCACCAAACGACCCCGATCGTGGTACTGGTGGATGTGCCCGACCGGTGATTGAATTAAATCTACTAAGAGAAGATATACCCAACATTGGCACTGGCCGTCAAAAGCAATTAGCATTTTAATTTGGACCCCGAACAATACCCAGACGCCCTACGAAGGTTAAATAGGATCGCGAGAGTGGGGAGGGCGCTACTGTTGACAGCAGAGAAATACGAGGTAGCTGCCACCGCCGGGGCCGACTGTAGAGCTGTAGAGAAAAGTATAGAGTAAGCACATAATAATAATATACCGTTCAGTTCATTTGACGAAACTCTTTTATTTAAAAAAATAAAAAAATAAAAAAATAAAAACTAATATATATATATATATATATGCATCAAAATATACATAAAAGAATTCCGTGTATGCATATATACTATATATAATATACAAAATAAAGTCACCGCGGAAAACACCCGTCAAAAACAGCACAATGTTGTTATCCGCATCGCTATTATGCAAAATAATAATTATAAACACATTTCTGCCCGAGCCATCACGGACATCGATGACAGAGTATACAACCCTTGATTCAGCCAACTATCAAAAACAATAATGGGGTTTACGATATAATAACGGTTTGATAACTCGGTCGAGGAGAAGAGGCCGCCGCCGTTCGTATCTCGTTAGTCGAACGTAATCCCGCGATGACGGCGGCGGACATATCCCGATCTTTCAATGTTTGTAGAAGTTAATCCAGATGGCCGCCGACATACTTAAGAAAATATATACGTTCGATTTTCGAGCAGAACGGCATCTGGTTAATATAAATCAATCACGATATAAGAAAAACGGTCCATGCGATATGATATAAACCCTATTCGTGATTAATATTTATAATGACATTTTCCTTTGGATTTTCTTCACTGATTTGTTACGTGCTCGCGCGCCAGTCAATATGAACGTACATTTGGTTTTACTCGTTCAAATATAATTTAACGTCTACTATTATTAACAGTAATAATATTATGCAATTATAGAATATTTTTTCATTTTTTTTTTTTTTTTATTTTTGCTAAGAATATTTACAACCTATTCTAAAAGGCACAACAGACAAATAATATAAGTAAATATTTAATATTACAATAAAAAAAAAACGATAGATATTATATTAGAAGTGAGACCATCCTACGATAGGACCAAAACTTTTTTCCCTCTTATTTTAAATAAAAATACTTAAATAACTATAAGTATAGAAAGTGCATTGTACATGAAATATTTAAATTCTTACCTTTCTTTTAATTTACCAGTATATTTTTATCGCAGATTGAGTATTTAATGTAATTTGTGATGTTAATGGATTTGTATAAATTTTACTGTTTCAATTTAAAAATAGTTTTGGCGCATAGAATTTGATATGTATATTAATGTGCAGAAGAAGTCATCATGCAGAAAGTGATTGATAATATAAACTTAGAATTCTGCAGAATCACAAATTGGAATCATACACCATAAAAGCGTAGATTAAATCTATTATTAAAGTTATAAAACGACTAAAGAGATAACGAAAATACTACTGTTTTAATTAAATATTTTATTTAAATAATTTATTCTAGTTTCAGTAGTGATTATTTTTATATGTGTAGAATTTATTTAAGTATTTTTTTTTTTACTAAAATAATATGTGTGATGTATATATCCAGATTGCAATTTAAAACTACGTGCCTTATACCTACTCTTATTATTAAAAAATTTTTTTCGCCAAATATTATACACCTTTTTAAAAGCGTACGACCTTAATTGTGAAGTAATTATATACAAAAACCAGCAATGTATAAAGTTGTTCAACAAGTTTGTTTAAAACTTTAAACGACTTTCGGTCATCAGTAAATATTTAACGACGAATACTCGTGTTTTAAATCCTTCCATTTTAATATTAGTTTTATACCTTTTTTTTTTTTTTTTTTTTATCAGGAACAAATTTTGTTTGCGCTTATAAATATCATAATACTGTTCGATGTCGAAAACTACCTTTTACTTATTACGCGTTTAAAGACTATAAACAAACTAAATTACTTTTAATTGATATTGAGCAAAGCGGTAATTCGCGCAACTTCAAAAGTGGGTAAAACAATATTAAGAAAACCCAAAACTTTTGAAAAATCGTCTGTCTTAAGTCGTTGAACTCCGACGCTTATCATTATTAGTGTTTCGAAATTCCTGCTCATTGGTGGCATGGATACAGTTTGCTATTTTCAACACCATTTCATTTTTACCCCACCAACAGGCTATTGTATTCTTTGTGTTTGAAAAAATAAAATATTAGTGGTAATAACAATAATAATAATAATAATAATAATAAAAAAAAGTATTGTTGTTGTTGTTGTTATGAAAGTGTCTGCAAGTTTAAGACGCGAGTGCAACCCCTGCGTAATAGGAACGACCAATAAAATTGTGCGTGCTGTATATGCGAACTTGGGAAATTGGTAAAGTTTGTGCGAGCTTGTGCGTTATATTTGAGGTTAATACGAAACTTACCGGCGGCATTTAATGTACGTGAAATGTCCTCCTCGAAGGTGTATAATAATAGTGTCCCGGTTTCCCGAGTCATTTTATGTGTACCTACCACTAGATATATAGATCTTCAGCTAGACCGTTAAAACGTTACCATTTATTATAATATATATATATGTTTCAAAATTTAACCTTCCTACTCGTTGCAAACACTTACGGCAATCGTAACTTTCAAGTATTTTTTTTTTTTAATTTATTATCGTACATGAGACGTACGTGTAAAACATAATTAATAATAATTAATTACAATATTATATTTCTAATTACGTCATGCATTATTGATCTCATATTAGTTTTAAGTTATTAAAGTATCAAATTATTTAAGTGTATAATATTTATTGACTATATAATGAGTAGCTACCTGCTATAATATATCCACGCACAGATGTTTGGTTATATTTTCTAATTACTCATCACTTTACATAAGTGTGTTATTAGTTTTTTGATGTACGTTCGATCGATCATGAACGCTTTTAATGTTATTAAAATTATTTTTATTTAATGTGGTTTAAAGGGGTTACAATCTCAAAAATAACATATTTGAACGGTTTCCTGCAAACGTCGCGTCATAATAAATTATAATCCACTAAACATCATCATACTCCGTTGTTCAGCTACCCAATGTGTTTTGCGTTTTATAATAATTACATCAAGTACATATTTATTATACTCAGTTTATTTAGGCGATCGTTTTAATCTAATTTATGTACCTAATATTCAATACGAGTTTTAAATATAATGATATTTTCCCCACATACATGAAATCGACATCGTATCGTACGACTATAACTTTGGGATTCAATTCATTCCTTTGCAAAAGGTGGTACGGCCTCAATTTTATTACTATTTTTTTTTTTTTTTTCGTAAGGTAAACCTCATTGTGTCTGAAATCTAACTTCCACCGCTCTCAACCTGATATTGGATAATTTATCCCCGAATCGTTACGGTCTGACACCGTAACGATTACGAACAACACATTTTCTTTTTATATTTTTTCTTTTTTACTTTTCCGTGTATACATCATGTGTGTGTTTATTGTGGCACAAGGCCGTGACGGTTCATTGTTAGATGTATAGCACATACGCCGTCGTACACACCGGTAAACAATAAAAATGGGGTGCGAAGAAAACACTGTACTTAGATTGGTGTAAGGTAGTTGTTGTTCAACGGTTTAGCACAGTCGAGGTCTAATGAACATTTGAAAAAAAAAAAATAAAAAATAATGTCAAAAAAATTTACAATATTGATTTGGATTACCTATTTGAGTAAAAAAAAAAAACTCTTGGAAATCTATAATTAACCATTAATAATCAAATTTCCTTATTACTTAACCTAAACTCTCTTACTGTCTCAACTCACAACTGTGTATGTTAATGTGTGCGTGCATGAGTGTGTGTGTGCGTGTATGGTGAACTGCGTGTAAACCTTTTTTGATTAATTTAACTCGTCGCTATGGAATCAGATTAAAATACCTACAGAATTTATTAAAAACGCAATATTCCGCGCTGCCTATGTTATGATGAAATATTGCATTAACATTATTATTATTATTACAACTACTACTACAAGTACTACTTATACAGCTACCATGTATACAGTACCAATATTGAAAACAGATTATTCAACAGAATTAATAATTCATTTTACATCTATGCTATACAATAATATAACCTAATAATATATAGCCCAAGTGATTACATCAGTATTACACACGTATCTACCTATCTTTTTTCAAATAT